TGGCACAGTTGAAAGTAAAAGAAGACCACTCTAATTTGTCATGTGTTGTCACATTTTGATATATTTGATTACTTTTCATTGGTTATATTATATCGGGTAAAAATCACCCGGCATTAGTGATCGTGTTACTATTTATAGCGATAGTGTTCTAGGGTTAAGCAATTGACCCATTGGTCCATTTATTTATTGAAAACCACATCTCTACATGTCAGGACATGGATATGAAATCAAATCCAGAGATACAACAGATTTCAGTGGAAATATAGTAAAGGGGAGAGGGTGGCACGGTGGTTAGCACTGTTTCCGCACAGCAAGACGGTCCTGAGTTCAATTCCACCATCAGGCCGGGGTCTTTCTGTGTAGAGTTTGCATGTTCTCCCCGTGTTTGCGTGGGTTCCTTCTGGGTACTCTGGCTTCCTCCCACCATCCAAAGACATGCAGCTTGTGGGGATAGGTTAATTGATTAATCCAAATTGCCCATAGGTGTGAATGTGTGAGTGCAAATGGTTGTCTGTGTCTCTATCTGTTAGCCCTATGACAGACTGGGGACCTGTCCAGGCTGTACCCCGCCTCTCACCCTATGACAGCTGGGATAGGCTCCAGCACCCCCGCGACCCTGAAAAGGATAAGCGGAAGTGAATGGATGGACGGATGGATGGATGGATATAGTAAAGGAGAGTTAAGCCTGCTTCCAGAGATGATAACCAACTACATATGGTAGTAATTTAAAGGAAAGATGTAAATATGACAGAAAGCTGTTTGAGGTGAAAGAACAGATCCCTTTCATTTTGATATGTTCCAATTGATATTCGTAGATAAGCACTACTTGACGTGACTGCTGGTTGCTGTTGCAGCTGATTATAGAAAATCCTTTATTGTGAAATGGTTTTCAGAGACGTGCTCTTTCCTGAAGCCAAGAACAAAAAGAGAAGCAGTGAGAAAAAGAAGAAATACACTGTGTTATATTCGTTATAACTTCCCATTTCAAGTTACAGCCCACAAAGTGGTTTTCTTGGATAAAGCGATCTTGTATATTAATTGAAAGTCAAATCAATTGCTAAAATGCAGAATATTTTCTTTGCAAGGCACCATCTCTTGCTAGTGCCACAAAAGTTAGACAACAATCCCTCTAACCAGCAACTACCAGTACATATCTTTCTGTCCTTTTTATACATTACTGGTCACCAAGATGCAGTTCTGAACACAGGACTGAAGTCCACAATTTAGCAATCTTGTTTGATTCAGTAAAAGGACTAGATGTTACAATCCCTGATAATGTATTGCTTTAAATGCAGAAGATCTTACACATCATTGTGTGCCTCAACTAGCGGTCTTTTACCCAAGCTAATCTGCCATTTTTTCTTCCTTGGTTAGGTTTAGGGATTAGAGATCTGATCTAGATTATCATATTAAGATTTGGGACACATCGTCAGTAGTGCTACTTGGATTCATTGGGTGTTTCGGTCAGTATCACTAGACACCCTGATCCAAGGAGGCCCTGCCAGGGTTGATCAGGTGTGCCACTGGTTTATGTTAAATTGTTATTTCTCTTCTTTCTTGTGTTTAGTTTTCTACAGTTTATTTTCTTCTGTCTATTCACTGCAAGTGAGAAATAATACTTAACTCTTTAAGATTTATGGAGCCTCACTTCTTCAAAGGGATAGAAAAGGTGATAGAGAGAAGTAAGACAAAAGGGATAAGACAGGAGAGAGCAGAGAGGAAAACCGGAAGGGGGGCCCAATCTGGCTTCCCACACCTCCCCGCCAAATCGGGCTGTACGCTCTACCTTCCCACTGCCTCCCAGAAAAGGGAAGAAGAGCGGAACATTTTTCTTTTCTTTCATTCCTCCTTTTGGGTTCACTACAATGAGGTTAACTGCACAGTCCCCAGGAGGTCCTGAACTGTATCAGTCAACCAGTAAAATTTCTAATGTTATGTTTTAACCTTTTGACACCCCTTGTTGCAGCAGGCCCACCATGGGTTGATCAATCCTGGGCGTGTGTCTCGTGGTTAGCTGACTGCCTTAGCTGCCCAAGTGATGTCAGCCCTTTTTAGCCATAGCCAGTGACTGGTCATCTCAGCAGTGTTAGCTAATTCTCTTATAACCTGCCGTTGTGCCTGTCCTCTGATCCCAATCTCTCTAAGCAGTTTTGCTGTTGTACTGGCAACAAAGCCCCTGCACCCCACTTCCACTGGGTGCACCTTGATCTTCCAGCCTCTGTTCTCTGCCTCAGCTGCCAAGTTGGCATACCGCAGCTTCTTACGCTCAAATGCTTCCTCAATTGCTTTCTCAATTGCTTCCTCCCATGGTATTGTCAGCTCAATGACGTATGCAAGTTTTTGGGAGTTAGACCAAAGGACGAGGTCTTGTCGCAGAGTAGTTGTTACGATCTCTGAGGGAAAAATTAGCCTCTGATCAAAGTCCACTTGCATCTGCTAATCCCTGGCAACCTTCAGCGGGCCCAGGTCCGGGGTTGAGGGGCTTGTCCTCGGCTTGTCTCCCTCCCGGACAAATGCTGATGAAAACTGACGCTCCTCTTGGTTCGTGAAAGGTTGAGCATTGATGGATTTTCTTTTGCACTCAACTTTCTCGGCTAGACACCTGAGGACCTGGTTGTGTCTCCATGTGTATCTGCCTTGAGTAAGGCTAGTCCTACAGCCAACCAAGATGTGCTTGAGTGTGGCTGTACACAGGGGGAAGGCTGGGTCCTTTCCAAGCCACAGCTGCAGATTTATTGGGGAAGGTAGCACATCGTATGTCATTCGGATGATGAAACTTAGTCTATTAAACTCCATCCCCAGATTTCACTCCATGAGAGTTTCCTCTTTTCAACACTCTCCCAATTCATCCAGCAACCCTGCTTGGCCAGCGCTCTGGCATGTCTGGCTGTTTCCTCCTGTCAACACACCTCCTTCACCATCATTTTTTGACATTTGGTTACAGATGCCTGTTGCCACCAAACAAATCCTCCTCTGTCCTGCGGACGTGACCCACCACTTCCTCCCAATTGCTAGGGTGGGAGCAGTGCTTCTCACTATGGGGTCCCGGGAGTCCGTGAGTGACATCTCAAGCCTCACTTTTGCACATTTAAACTCCTCTACTAGACAAGGGATAGGCAATGACAGTATCCCATCGCTATAGAGTGCAACGCTGCTGAGGCATTTGGGAAGTCCGAGCCACTTTTTAACGTGCTAGTCAATCAATCATGCTAGTCGACTGGCATGATTGAGTGAGACCTCGGACATTGTCAACTGCCACAGTAGTCTGGGTAATAACCCAAACTGGAAGCACCAGAGCTTCAGTTTCCCTGGGAGTGCAGTGTTGTTAATCCGCTTGAGGTCATTAGCCAAGTTCTGCTTTAGTTGTTCTAGTTGCCACGTATCATTGAGGTCTGCATTATACCACCGCCCCAGGTTCCTTTAGGGCTTCTCTAAGACTGTTGGAATTGGTTCTCCACTGATATAGAATTGCTCGGCTGTCAGTTTTCCTTTTATGATGGAGATGCTGCGAGATTTACTTGGCTTAAACTCCATTCTTGCTCATTCGATTTTTTCTTGGAGCTTCTGTAGCAATCGCCTACATGGTTTTGTTGTTGTAATGATGGTCATGTCATCCATGTAGGCTCTAATGGGCGGAAGACGAAGGCCACACTTCAGTCTCTCACCTCCCACTACCCACCGAGATGCCCGCATGAGGGGAAATTGTGGAGCCTGCCATGACTCCAATTCCCAGGTGCTGCCAGGCTGTGGTGGTCTTCTCAGCTGTCACACAAAACTGTAAACTACTGTAAAAGTAGGTCTTGACCAGTCCTGTGATGTGGTTTGGTATGCTGAAATAGTTCAAGGCCATCCACAAGATCTCGTGTGGAACTGACCCGAAGGTGTTGGCAAAGTCTAAAAAGACCACATGCATTTCCAAAACAGGCTTCTTAGTGTAGATTTAACACATGGGAACTGAGTGACTATTTCCCACCACTGGAAATCTTTCAGATATTAAACCGACTTGAACATAAATGGAGGGAAAATAACAAAGACAGTCCTGTTGGTGCATCCACCACTGGTGCTTATTACACACAATGGCACAAAATAGGCCGAAATTTATGATTTATATGTTATTTAAAGTACTACATTCAGCCCTTAAAGCAGGCCAAAATGATCCAAAACAACACTTTTTGGACCAGATGTTTGCAAATTGCATCTAGCAAGCCCTACAGAAGAGAAGCGAGCATAAGGGGAGCAGTATTTTATAAAATCCAGCATTTCTAAAGGCTCAACAAATATCTGGAAACACACAAACTGTTTGTGTGCACTTTGTCACAAAAGTGTGTCTGCTAGCTAAAGGTACAGGTTCCACATTTGAGGGAGGGAAAAAAAGTTAATAACTTCAGAGATAGAGAACAATGTGAGAAAGGCTGGACAGGAGGGGAAGAAGAGGTTATAAACAAACATAATTACTGCTCAGCAACTGTGGTAAATAGGAAATTTAAACCTAACTAGTGCTCAGCATAAATGAGTACACCCCCTTTAAAAAGCACGTTAATCAGTAGCTCAAAGAACAAAAGAACAATTTCCCAAATTTTCACAACGCTAGGTTTTATTGAACACTTGTTCAACTCCATTTTAACTCCATAATATGAAATTAAGGTTAATAATATAACTTAGATCACAAAATCTTCAGTTTTACTCAACTTGGTTGAAGCAAAAATGAATACACCCTGCAACAAAAACTACTACATCTAGTATTTTGTATGATCACCGTGATTTTCAAGGACAGCACCAAGTCTTCTAGGCATGGAATGAACAAGTTTGTGACATATTGCAACATCTATCTTTTCCATTCTTCAACCTCTTTTAGAGCCTGGATGCTGGATGGAGAGTGACGCTCAACTCGTCGCTTCAGAATTCCCCACAGGTGTTCGATTGGGTTCAGATCAGGAGATATACTTAGCCATTCAGTCACCTTCAACCTGTTCTTCCTCAGAAATGCAACAGTAGCTGTAGATGTGTGTTTTGGATCATTGTCGTGTTGGAAAAGTGCACGACGACCAAGTGCACGGAGTGATGGCAGCATCTTCTCCTTCAGTATTGAGCAGTACATTGTTGAGTTCATGACACCATGAATGAAATGCAGCTTCCCAACACCAGCAGCACTCATGCAGCCTCACATAAGGACACTGCCACCACCATGTTTCACTGTAGGCACCATGCATTTGTCGTTGAAATCCTCTCCTTTATGACGGCATACACTTTTGAAACCATTAGTTCCAAAAACAGTGATCTTTGTCTCAATACTCCAGAGTATAGAGTCCCAGTAATCTTGATCTTTTTCAGCATGGGCCCTAGCAAATTCTAGGCGTGCTTTTTTGTGCATGGGATTTAGGAGAGGCTTCCTTCCTTGGCGATACCCATGCATGCCATTCCTCTGCAGTGTGTGCTGTATGGTGTGACAGGAAACGGTCACTCCAGTTTGGCTTTCTACTGCTTTAGCAGTGAACTTGCATGGCGAATTTCTTCGACCCTTCTCATCAGAAGACGCTCCTGTCGAGATGTTAACTTCCGTGGACGGCCTGGACGTCTCTGTAAGATGGTTGCACTTCCATCTTAAATTTTTGAATCACCTACAATAATTGGGGTTTACTGATTATTGCGATATGGACTTTAATGAATTTGTTAGGAAAATCACTTTTTTGTTTGTGCAAATTCACAAATCTTTGCAGTCAATGGCCCACATTTGTGGGAGTATTTTGTAGTATCTCATAGAAAATGTTGATTCTGAAAGGGAACTAAAAGTTTTCTGGCAAATGCTGAGCACTGTATAATAAATGTGGTCAAATTTACAGTAAAGCACAAACTTGAACCCGCACAGAGAAGCTGCGGTGTTTTGGTTTAAAAAAAGAAAGAAAAAAAAGACATCAATTTACATTTGAGCTGATGATGCTTAGATTCACTCACTGAATTCTATCTTTATAAATCAGGGTTGTGTTCTCCGTCGCAAATGTTCAAGCTGAGTATATCATTACAATTACAATGCGAGTTGAAATAAAGCTTGTATTCCCGTGTTTTAATATTATTTTATTATTAAATTAAAATGGTAAGAGAGAGCGCAGTTAGCACCAAAAGATTTGCAGAAAAGCTACTTTATGTTTTTATGTTTTACAAGCAATTTTAATTGTGTGTGAGGTGTCCTTGAGTGTTTAGAAAGTCTTTAAATAAAACGTGTGATTATTATTAGTAGTAGTTTTTCCCTTTATTCATTAAGTAAATTTCAAAGTATATACTTTTTTGCATTTCTTTCAGTAAATTAGTTCAAACAGTACTTCAATCTGTACTCCTACAAATTGAAGAGCATCTGTACTTTTGCCAGCTCTGTTGCACGTTGATCGATAGGTGAGGCTTACAGACCCACTCCTTCGTTATTGTGCATATACAATCATGTCATATGAGGACGTGTGGTGACTGTATATCAAGCTGAGTAATTACAGCAGTTAAGTAGTGGATTTGAACTTCTGCAGTTCCAGAAATTTTCAAAACCTGTCTGTCTTAATATGAGAGTCACGAGATAGAGGGGTGTTACGTGAAGTTAATCTTTCATTCTTACTCAGTGGGAGTGTCTGACCTGTACTATATAGAGCTGTGTGTGATACAGCAGAAGGGAAAGTGTGAAAGGCATCACAGGAAGCTGCTGAATTTCTTCACTGAATTTCTTCAAGGTAACATTGGACTTTAGTGTGTCACATTAAAGTTACAAAGTCTGACCTTTTTAGTTCAGAAAGAAAAAAATCTGCAAAGTCATGCTGATTCTGTCTTCCAGATGTTGAGGATCAGTCTGTGTTTGTCATTCGGTGTGTTTCTGTGGGGATTTGCTTCATGCTCTATGTGTCATGATGGGAGTACTTGTCCAGACACCACCACCTGCTGCAAGGCTAAAATTGGCTTTGCCTGCTGCCCATATCCAAATGTAAGTCAGAAACGTTCTGTCAGTGCAGTAACTTGATTGTTGGTTGTTAAAAGTTCTGCTGGTCTTACTTACTTTGCAGGCCATGTGCTGTAGTGACCTGCTCCACTGCTGCCCGTCAGGATATCGCTGTAACCTGGTTACCATGAAATGTCAGAAATTAGACCAGCCGTGGCTGACCATACCCATGGTGAAGAAGGAGGCTGCGGAGAAACCAGCCCCCCCTGAACTGCCTGGAACTCCACTCCAGGAGCTTAAAGAGAGCCACGTCCCAGATCAAATAAAGAAATCAATGGTCTACTGTGACAGTTACACCTACTGTCCTGATGGCACTACCTGCTGCAGACACCCACAAGGAGGCTGGTTCTGTTGTCCCTACTCTCCTGTGAGTCAGCCTAAACACTCTTGTGTAATAAAATTCCTTTTGTTTTCCACTGAGATGAAGCAAGTTTGCAGCTATAGTAATTATTCTTTTGAGAGACTAAAAGTGTTTCTTGCAGGGCAAATGTTGTCTGGATGGCTACCACTGCTGTCCAGTTGGATTTGACTGTGACCGAACCTACCAGCACTGTGTGAGGGAAAAACTCACATATCCTTTCCTCCGCAAGCCAGCACTACCTTCAGGACCTGCGTCCTTCATCCCATCTTCAGAGGAAGACGACAATTAGAAGAAGGTAGGAAACGCCACACTCTAACCACTTTTACAACCTTCGCATGTGGAGAACATCCTGGGATAATTTCACTCACTGTTCAGGTCAAATTTCAAGGCTACATTTTAGACTTTCTTTGTTTACTGGTGTTATATCAAATGATGGCGTGCACATCTGATCACCAACCAGGATTGAACAACAGCTAAATATACTGATAGTTGTGGGTTTGATCATTTATGTTGACAGACTACTGTGACATGATGAACCTGCTCTAACCAGCTGTTTCTTGTCCTGATGAGGTCATAGAGTATTATTACCAAATTTGGATCTTTCAGCTCTGCGTAGTATTTCTGCATCGTTTTGCAGCCTTGAAAGATTCCTATAAATCCAAAGTATGCTGGCTTCCCAAAACAAACAGCAGACAAGCTAATTCAGCTACTAGCCTGCAAGCATAGTGAAGCATGTAGCAGCCCGAGGACCAGAAATCACAGCTTGTTTCTGCGGCCCCTTAGTGGCCAAATAGAAAACTTAGGGTGCAGGTGTCGAACTCCTGGCCTTGAGGGCCGGAGTCCTGTAGGTTTTAGATGTGTCCTTGATCCAACACAGCTGTTTTAAATGGCTAAATTACCTCCACAACATGTCTCAAAGTTCTCCAGATGCCTGGTAATGAACTAATCATTTGATTTAGGTGTGTTGACCCAGGGTGAGATCTAAAACCTGCAGGACACCGGCCCTCGAGGCCTGGAGTTCGACACCCCTGACTTAGGGAGAAACTTAGTGAGATGACTATAATATGTTGTTCTAACACAAAGACTTGCACTAATTTCAGGCCCACTGGAGAAAGAGTCACCAGTCACCTCCACAGACCAGCTATGCAAACTTTTCACTGAGGTCATCATGTGTTGAAAAGGCCTAATCCCCATTGTAGAAATAGGGAAATCATTAACGATTTCAAGCTAATCTCAAATCATCTTATTGATTGCTTTTTAAATAATGAAAATGTGTTTTTCATCTATTCCATTCTCCTATACTGCCTATGTGACTGAGTGTCAGTGAATATAGACCAGTATGATGTTACGATGGTGAGGTGAAAATGTTTTGATTTGTTTTATGATTTTTTTCCATTCCTTTGTATACTTTTGTCCAGCTTCACCAATAAAAAAAATCATAGCATCTTCTGCCCAGCTGTGTCATGCAGTCATTTATTTATCATCTTTTCACGTCACAGTTTGAGTGCCCATGAACACCTCAGCCTGCCCAATACCAGCCCAGCATAATGCATTACTTGAGGAATAAAGTTGAACAAACCACATATTGATTTTCAAACTCTGTATATCAATGTATGTTTGCATGTTCCAGTATTAAAACAAGAATTGCTGTACCTACTTCCTATTTTCCTATGAAAATATGAAGAAATATACACAAACAGACACTAATTATGTTACCATGCATAATGGTGGATTGGAATGGCAATTGAGAACCGGTTCTTGTTCCCAGTAGTCCAACTTCTTGGAATTTTCAGTTTGTTTGCCTATTGATCCAGGTTATTGGTTCCACTTGCACACAGTGTGAAAAAGCCTTTTGCATTTGATGTTTTGTTAAGCTCTATGTCTGGATTTTGTTCTTTTGCACCCTCTGGTGGTGAACTATGTAGGGTACAGTTGGTTGCAGTTGCACTCTTTTGCTAAGGCACATGGTGTCTGCATGCTGCAGCTTGCGGTTAGCTCCACACATGGAGAAAGTAATGTTTAAAGTTAGAGAAAGAGAAGAAATAAATGAGAAAGAAGATGGAGAATAAGATAATAAGGCCATAAAGGACTATTTAGCCCCTCTTGGATGCCAGCTTATGAGGTTTGTGTATTTTAAATGTTTTATTTTCTGTGATGAAGGACTTTTGATTGACACTAAGTGCAAGAGTGCATTTTGATGTGATGTTTTTATTTTATTGTTTTTGTCTGTGAGCAGTTCTCACAGGTTGTCAAGACCAGAACAAACCCTGTTTTATAACTCTACATCATGCCTACATCAATCCTTGAGGGTGCTACACACAGCTTTATATAGTACAGGTCAGACACATTTTAGTTTGTGTGCTGGAGGAGGAAAATGGTGGCGCAGTCTACACGGTGGATATGGACGTTACTTTTATTTTCATTGCACAAAAGTAGGACTATTGTGAAGTGGAAACTACATCCAGGCCAGAAACAACTACATTATGCTGGAGTTAAAAAGGAAATCATGTAATCAATTTATAGAGAAAGATGTATTCTAAACTTTTGTGTCATCAATGTAGCCACA